CCCATGCTGCTCCCAGCTGAACACGCCGGGAAGGGGCTGAGCTGCCTCACCTGCCTTGGACCTGCCCGGCCCTGCCTCCCGGGGTCCTGGTTCAGCCCTCCCTGCTGGGCACAGGGCTCGGCTGGTGGCAGAGGCAGGAGGGCCAGTTCCCCACCAATGCTGCCCAAAAAGAGCATCAGGTGAGGGGGTCAGGGCCCCACCCCCAGGTTTGGGGTCTCTGCCATCATCCTCCCACTCACCTGTTCTCCAGCCTCAGGTGAGGGAGCCCCGTGTGATGGAATCCAGGCAGCAGAGGACAAAAGCCACTCAGGAAACCCACTGAATGAAAACATTTGGGAAAGGCTGAGTGATTCACGTGGCAGCAGCTCTCTTCTTTGAAGAGAGAACTTCTATCCCACAGGATTTAAGGACCCCGAGTGTGTCACTGTAACAGGGAAAGGTCTGGGAAGGGTCTGGTCACTACAGCTTCTAAATATTCTGTTCTTGGGTCTAGATCTCAGCCACAGCCTGGCATCGGGTACCTCATCCCTACACACACCTGGTGGTGCAGTTGCTGGGTGTCTTTTGGGGATACTTCAGCAGATCTGGTGAGGCAGAGCTTTTAAACCATCCCAAAACTCCCTTCTCCTCACTGCAACGTCCCACCCAGCTCCTCCACATTTACAGTGACACGTCTGAACCCTCCTCCCTGCAAACCCCCGGCGTGGCCGTGCCCAACACCCTGCACCCAGCACCTGCAAAGCCTGAAACAGCTCCTGCCCCCCAGCAAAACCCCCTCCAGCAGGGAAACTGCCAAGCTGTAAATCCCCCTTGCACCTTCCCCAGTTGGCCTCAGCAGACACCAGCAAGGCTGGATTTGCCTCCCAGCAGCTCAGCTTAGCACAGGGTGATGCAGCTGCTTGAGATTATCAAACCTTCCGTGCTCAACCGGCTCATCTCCCTCCAGCCTGACCCCAAACACCCCGAGGCAGGGAAGCTCTCACCCCACATCTCCTGTCCCGAGGCTCGGGCAGGCTGTGGGGACCCCCGGGGGGCAGGGAGCCCCGAGGGCAAGGGCTGCAGCTCCGCCAGGGATCAGCTCCCGTAGCCATAGCAGCGGGGTATTTATTACAGCCCAGCCACGCTCCGCCCTGGGCTGCTGCTGGACTTTAGCCCTTCCTCGAACTGGGAAGTCCCAGCAGACGCCTCCGATCCCGACAGGCAGGGTAAAACACACCCAGGGGACCCCCCGAACCATGGTGAGTGAGGCTACAAACTGCTCAGCCCTGCTCCCCCCGCTCCAGAGTTTAAAGCCGATTTTCTTTTCCCCCCTCCCCTCACCCTCTCTCTCTTTTACACCTTCATGCTACAGGCAAAATTTCTAACCCAGGATCAAATTAACGGTACGTGCAGTTTTTTGTTCCGGGTTTGGGGTTTTTACTGACAAAGTCGCTTAAGGACTATTTGTATTTTTCCATGCATGTATGAAATGGCATTTTCCCCCAAAAGTGTCTCTGCCGGGGCTTGTGCTCCCCTGCTCGCCCTTCTCCCAGCCCCAGGGGGATCTGCCGGTGCTGGGAGGTAAAACCAGCGGCAGCCCCCCCGGCTGGGGGGCACCCAGGCCAGCAGGGGTGAACCAGCCCCCCCAGACCATCCACACCAGCCCTGGCCCGGGAGAAACTTCAGGTGTCCCGTTTGCGTAGGATGGGAGTGAAGGCGAAGGAGGAAGAGGAGGAGGAGGGAGAAGGTGCAGGAAGAAGGACAATTTCCCCTTTGTGAGGCATCAGGGCTGCCCCTGGGAAAGGGAACCTCTGCCTGGGATGGGAAGGAGGGAGGGTTTGCCACGGGAATGGCAGAAGAAAGCTGAAATAAAAGGGTGTTGCAGCAGATCTGTTCATCTGCAGCGCCCTGGGGCTGGGCAGCTCTGCTGCTGCTGCAGGGGCACCCAGGGGACCCCCCCCCCAGCACCCAGGGGACACCCAGTGAGGTCTGGGGATTTTTGGGGCACGGAGGGGATCCCTGCACAGCAGGGGTGGGAGGCTGGGGCAGGCAGCCCTATCTAGGTCAGGCCTCGGGTGCGGGTTTGAGGGAGATGCTGCAGGGGGGTGGCACCCACAGGCCATCAAACAACACAGGATCAGATCTGCTGCCTTTTCCTGAGCTCCAGCCCTTCACCTGCACAGGGGCTGGCAGAGCTGAGGGCCCAAACCAGCCTCCTCTAGCCCCCCCCCTTAAGGGTCTTCTCTCCTTCTTCCCCCCACACAGGCAAAAGTCCTTTTTAACAGTATTCGACATATTTGGAAGCCTGACTCCACTTTCAGGCTTGCTTCATTAGGCTGAAGGACCCCAATTAGCTCAGCTGTTCATCAGCCTGGATTTTAATTGCCCTTGGCTCTTCAGCCCAGGGTCCTCCCTCACTGATCATCTTCCGTGAACCAAAACACCCCCCCCCAGACACAATATCCCTGCTGGAATCCTCCCAAGGCCTCCCAGCCAGGCAATGGGAGAGGAAACATCACTGGTAGATCAATGTAATCTTAAATGGCATAACAGAGTTTTGGTTTTTAATTAGAGTTCAAGGAATGTTTTTCCCTGTACGACAAGAAACAAAAAGGAAAGATAAAAGCCACTGACCTGCTGGCAGTGATGAGGTGCCTGGGAGCCAGCCCGACGCCAGGAGAGGTGCAGAGACATCTCCACCTGCACAAGATCGGTGAGCACAGCACTGGGAAGAAAACATGCTGCATTACAGCTGGAGAAACCCCTCTTTTCAGTGGTCAGGAGACCTAGATGCAAAGAGAAGGAGGTTGCCTGGAGCCCAGTAGATAAAATTCACTCTCAGGTCCATGGCAGCATAACTGAGAGCAGGCACCAAAACCTGCCCTGATGTGCTGGGTGGTGAACAAATCAACTCAGCACACAGATGAAAACAGTGCCATTAAAAAAACCTTAAAGAGCAGCAGGAGGCATAAATATTGGATTTCAAGGCTGGGAAACTATCTAGTGCAACCAGCATAGGTAGGAAGAGAGCACAGAAAGATCCTCAGCTCTAGATACATAGACATCAATTCAAAGCAGAGCAAAAAGAGCAAAGAAGAACCACAGAGTGGGCTGGATTAAAAATTCTGGATATGAGGTTTCAGAGCACAGGTCTAGAAAAGCTATAGATGAGGTTTGAACACCCTGGCCCAAACCAGAGTCAGGGAGAAGGAACAAGGTGGCCCAGGAATGGGAACTAGGGGGAGGATGCTTAGGTCTGGATCCAGACTACAAAACTGAGACATTCCTAAATAATCTGCTCTTCTTCTTCCAGACAGAAATGCAGAGTTGGATTTCTCCACTTTCCTGAATATAATGTACAGGCAAATGAAGCAAGAGGAACCTGAGAGGGAAATCCTCACAGCCTTGTCCATGATGGACACGCAGAAAAAAGGAGTCATCACCGTTTCAGAGCTGAGAGCCAAACTAACAAGACTAGGAGAAAAGCTTTCTGAGGAAGAAGGTATTTCAGAATTCAGAGACATGTCAAATGCTCCCCCCTCATATTTCCTTCCTCATTTTCCTCTGTAGTCAGTCTGGGAGCAGGTGCTTCCAGCTGGGAAGCCAGGAAGGAGCTGTGCCTCCCTTGGTGGGGGCAGATGGGGTGTCCCCCCATCACGTCCTGCAGAGATAACCCAGCTGCTCATTAACTGAGGGACCTTTTCCCTTCCCTGAGTCGTTTCCTCAATGATCATTTCCCAACCCCAAGATACTTTCCTGTATATAAAGGGAGAGTGTCTGTGCCCCCAGCTGGGGAGATGCTGAAAGGAGCACACAGGGCACTGACAGCTTCCCAAGAGCACTGCTGTGGCCAGTGCAATTTGGAAGAGAGAGAAGACTTCATTAAATAAGGCTCTTTTTAAAAGAAGAAAAACAACTGTCCTGTTTGTCAGAAATTTGTGTCCGAGTGGCACAACAGGATGGAATTTCCAGGAAGAGGGCAAAGAGAAAAACCTGTCAGCAGTTGGACACAGGCAATGAGCCAGTTTTCTCCAGGTTATGGGGCCTGTACAGACCCCGTGAGGCTCCCTGGGGGGAAAACTGTCCTTTCTAATGTTAAAGGAGAATTTAATCAGAGCAAGGCTGGTCAGTCCAGTCACCATCACCAGCTTCACCAGTGATCCCCCACCAAGGCATGTCTTGTGTAACTGGAACAGCAGTTTATGCAGCTACTTTTATCTGAAAGCACTTTCAGAGCTATTGGGAGAGCTCAATAGTGAAGACATGGATACATTAACCCTAATTAAAGGCATCCCAGCAAGAACTACTATTTTATACAGAATATTTGGGAGGTGGCCGCCCCCCCCAGCACCCAGGGGACACCCAGTGAGGTCTGGGGATTTTTGGGGCACGGAGGGGATCCCTGCACAGCAGGGGTGGGAGGCTGGGGCAGGCAGCCCTATCTAGGTCAGGCCTCGGGTGCGGGTTTGAGGGAGATGCTGCAGGGGGGTGGCACCCACAGGCCATCAAACAACACAGGATCAGATCTGCTGCCTTTTCCTGAGCTCCAGCCCTTCACCTGCACAGGGGCTGGCAGAGCTGAGGGCCCAAACCAGCCTCCTCTAGCCCCCCCCCTTAAGGGTCTTCTCTCCTTCTTCCCCCCACACAGGCAAAAGTCCTTTTTAACAGTATTCGACATATTTGGAAGCCTGACTCCACTTTCAGGCTTGCTTCATTAGGCTGAAGGACCCCAATTAGCTCAGCTGTTCATCAGCCTGGATTTTAATTGCCCTTGGCTCTTCAGCCCAGGGTCCTCCCTCACTGTCCATCATCTTCCTTGAAACAAAACACCCCCACCCAGACACAATATCCCTGCTGGAATCCTCCCAAGGCCTCCCAGCCAGGCAATGGGAGAGGAAACATCACTGGTAGATCAATGTAATCTTAAATGGCATAACAGAGTTTTGGTTTTTAATTAGAGTTCAAGGAATGTTTTTCCCTGTACGACAAGAAACAAAAAGGAAAGATAAAAGCCACTGACCTGCTGGCAGTGATGAGGTGCCTGGGAGCCAGCCCGACGCCAGGAGAGGTGCAGAGACATCTCCACCTGCACAAGATCGGTGAGCACAGCACTGGGAAGAAAACATGCTGCATTACAGCTGGAGAAACCCCTCTTTTCAGTGGTCAGGAGACCTAGATGCAAAGAGAAGGAGGTTGCCTGGAGCCCAGTAGATAAAATTCACTCTCAGGTCCATGGCAGCATAACTGAGAGCAGGCACCAAAACCTGCCCTGATGTGCTGGGTCGTGAACAAATCAACTCAGCACACAGATGAAAACAGTGCCATTAAAAAAACCTTAAAGAGCAGCAGGAGGCATAAATATTGGATTTCAAGGCTGGGAAACTATCTAGTGCAACCAGCATAGGTAGGAAGAGAGCACAGAAAGATCCTCAGCTCTAGATACATAGACATCAATTCAAAGCAGAGCAAAAAGAGCAAAGAAGAACCACAGAGTGGGCTGGATTAAAAATTCTGGATATGAGGTTTCAGAGCACAGGTCTAGAAAAGCTATAGATGAGGTTTGAACACCCTGGCCCAAACCAGAGTCAGGGAGAAGGAACAAGGTGGCCCAGGAATGGGAACTAGGGGGAGGATGCTTAGGTCTGGATCCAGACTACAAAACTGAGACATTCCTAAATAATCTGCTCTTCTTCTTCCAGACAGAAATGCAGAGTTGGATTTCTCCACTTTCCTGAATATAATGTACAGGCAAATGAAGCAAGAGGAACCTGAGAGGGAAATCCTCACAGCCTTGTCCATGATGGACACGCAGAAAAAAGGAGTCATCACCGTTTCAGAGCTGAGAGCCAAACTAACAAGACTAGGAGAAAAGCTTTCTGAGGAAGAAGGTATTTCAGAATTCAGAGACATGTCAAATGCTCCCCCCTCATATTTCCTTCCTCATTTTCCTCTGTAGTCAGTCTGGGAGCAGGTGCTTCCAGCTGGGAAGCCAGGAAGGAGCTGTGCCTCCCTTGGTGGGGGCAGATGGGGTGTCCCCCCATCACGTCCTGCAGAGATAACCCAGCTGCTCATTAACTGAGGGACCTTTTCCCTTCCCTGAGTCGTTTCCTCAATGATCATTTCCCAACCCCAAGATACTTTCCTGTATATAAAGGGAGAGTGTCTGTGCCCCCAGCTGGGGAGATGCTGAAAGGAGCACACAGGGCACTGACAGCTTCCCAAGAGCACTGCTGTGGCCAGTGCAATTTGGAAGAGAGAGAAGACTTCATTAAATAAGGCTCTTTTTAGAAGAAGAAAAACAACTGTCCTGTTTGTCAGAAATTTGTGTCCGAGTGGCACAACAGGATGGAATTTCCAGGAAGAGGGCAAAGAGAAAAACCTGTCAGCAGTTGGACACAGGCAATGAGCCAGTTTTCTCCAGGTTATGGGGCCTGTACAGACCCCGTGAGGCTCCCTGGGGGGAAAACTGTCCTTTCTAATGTTAAAGGAGAATTTAATCAGAGCAAGGCTGGTCAGTCCAGTCACCATCACCAGCTTCACCAGTGATCCCCCACCAAGGCATGTCTTGTGTAACTGGAACAGCAGTTTATGCAGCTACTTTTATCTGAAAGCACTTTCAGAGCTATTGGGAGAGCTCAATAGTGAAGACATGGATACATTAACCCTAATTAAAGGCATCCCAGCAAGAACTACTATTTTATACAGAATATTTGGGAGGTGCAGAGTGATCTCCCATCATTTTGGCAGAGAGGCTGCACATCTACTCACATGTACCAAGCACTACAGGTCCTGATGCTGCTGCTCACCAAGAGATTCCCCCTTTGGCTGGACACCCTGAACCCCAGCTTGGAAAGCTGCTGTAAATATTTGATGCTGGAACAGACTCACTTTCACTGGCACCTGCAATTGTTCAGTAACTACTAGCACGTCCCTTCAATTACAGGGGCTCCAGAAAAGCCTTCACTTTAATTTAACTTACATTCATCAAATGAGAACTGACACATTTTTCTTCTGTGTTATTTTTAAACCTTCTGGGCAGAATTAATTATTTTTAAAATGTATGCCCTCAGAAGCATTTGATTACCATCAGGGCATTCTTTTAGAAAGGAGGATGGGATCTCCTGTTACTTACCTTACAGGAACAGCAGTTCTCACAATAACCCCTCATTTAACCCCTGCTGCAACCAGATCCCCCCCAGCAGCAGCTTCCACTGATACCCTCTATACACTGTCTGCAAACAGGGGAAAACTGTCTCATCCAGTACCCACATGAACAGGAGAGAGGGAAAACAGGTTCCTTCCACAACTATTTCCAGTAAAACAGCCTCACCCCCCAATGACCTTCCCCCTGGATTTCACAACTGGCAAGTGCAAAGCTGTTATTCTGTGCTCAAGTATGAGTACTTATTTAAACAACCACAGCTGGTTCAGCCCGGAGAGCTGTGCTGGTAACACTAAAATATAGCCCAGGCTCTGCTGACCTGCAGGCACCTATCTCAGAAAGGGAGAGCACTGCTCCAGCCAGGCATGGGGCTGGGCAGGACCTGCAGTGAGCACACGGCCATCTAGAATCCATCTGTTCCAAGGGTCTATCAACAGGCTCTAAACACCTAGAAGGTGTCCTGCTAACAAAATATCAAATGATAGACAGGTCCACAAGCCAACAGACCCATCCCTCAGCACAGCACCCAGCCACAAACCTGCTCACACACTGCTGGCCCAAAGCAAACCAGGAACAGGCTGGTGAAACTGGCCCCACGACATCAGCAAGCATGTGAGAAACCCCTCTTCTGGGCTGGGCTGGATACCTTATCAAAGGGAGCTCCTCCCCCAGACATTATCAAGTAAAGGCTGCTGGGTTGCTCTGATGTTTGTTTTAGCACCCACCCACTGTATGTTATGAGTAAACATGGAAGGGGATTCTCCTCCTTTCCTGCCATCCAGAGGAAGATGGTATCAAGTTCCCACAGCAGCTTCACAGCAGCATTTAACACTACTTTCCTATGTATCATTTCTTACCTATTTCTATTCTATTGACATTATTTGACAGAAAAACAAACCTTCTAATGGTTTAGCCTGTACAGAAGAGACCATTTTAAATGAGGCAACTGCTGTCACTGCCAAGGCATGGAATAAAAAAGCATCACTGCTGCCAGGTACCAACTGCACGGCCACCACTTCTTCAGAAGTGTCTTCACAGCAAGAATCCCAGCTGAGAAAACATTTTTCACTTCCAAACACTAAAGCCCCACTGATACTAACAGGCATCACAAAACTCTACTTAAAGCTGGGCATGTAACCACCATGAGCACTTACTTTTGTCCAAACTGAGTAAGGACAGATTTGCTATTCGTTGTTTACTGCTAATATTTGCCTCTCAAAGTCCTATCTTCTTTCACTCTTTCAGTTGATGAGCTGCTGAAAGAAGCCAAAGTTGGACCAAATGGAACAATAAAATATGAAGAATTTGTCCACATCATTTGCCTTCCTAGAGTCGACTACTGAAGTTCAAAGTTACTGAAGTTCAAAACAGGAGACTTGGTAAGAGCAGGACCTGAAATTTTCTGACTTCATTTTTTCCTAGTTACTACTTGGACTTGGGAATCATCATTTGCCTTTAAAAAATCCTTATTTTGCCTGGATGGCACAGGCTCCCACCCCATTCCTGGAGGAATGTGGTCACAACATGGGAGCACTCTGTTACTTAAATAAACTGAATGTGACATTCCCTTGTGTAACGTGTTCTTAAAAAACCCAACTAATTTAAATAAATGACTTTAAGCCTACAGATGGTGGCATCAGTGCTAATGGGCAGTTAAGGTCTCAGGGTCACTGAGTTCCAAGAATTCAGCATCACCCATAACCATTTGATGTTTCCATCCCTGCCCAGCCACAGTTCTCTGAGTAGGAACAGACTCCCCAGGAAGCTTCATCATAATGGTGGTGAATTCAGTATATGCATGGCTCCCTGGTATTCCTAGGATCTATGGTGGGATCTGGTAACTCCCAACCAGATGTTCTCCTGTCACAAAGTTGTCACATTAACAGTCCCACGTGTGAGGTGGCCACGTCCCTGGTGAGGACGCAGTGACAGGAGAAGAGCAGTGAGCAATCCTCCAGCCCCCTGTCAGTGATGCTCACCAGCTGCAGAGGACAACTCCCAGGCTCCAAGCACAGGAACACTCCATGATCACTGTCTCCTTCCTCTTCATCTTTGGCTCCTCCAGCAGACAAGACCTCAGTGCTGTTGTTCTTCTGTCACAGGATTGATTAAAGTGCAGCATCTTGCAGCGTCAAGTCTCCGTGCAGTTAAGCTGCCCACTTCTGAGGCTACACACTGAAAATGCTGCACTTGGTAAATGTATCTGTCACCAGGTTCTGGGCCAGATGCCCAGAACATGCTCCTAGAGACAGCCTGGAAGGGAAAAACAGGAGGCATGAAAATCCAGCTTCTCTACAACAGGAAAAAAACACCTCATCTCTCTTGGCTTTAGACTGATTAAAACCGGTGTGACCCAGAGCAGTCGCTGTGGATCTCATTCCACCCGTGTCTCAGCAGCCCCAGTGAAGGTGCACAGACTGGAGAGGTACATTTAGGACAAGAGACAGCAGATTCTCTCTGCATGTAACTAGAAAAATGTACTGAGACCCTCAGCACAAGCAGCAGCCGCAGCGCCCTGGCCAAGCACACGCTCCTGCCTTTAACTCTGCATCTCTGTGGCTGAAGCAACCAACTCACTCTCTGCTCAAGGTGTGAAATGACCAGCAACTAAACCCTCAGGGCCGCTGCAGACACAACCCAGGTGTCCCCTGCTGGGACACCCAGCCCAGCCTCAACACCACCTTAGTCTGAACAGTCACACACCGCTGGCATCAACCAGCACCAACCTGGGGAGAAACTGAAGCATCAGCCAATCTTAACCCTTCCAAACCTGCCACAGCATCTCCAAAAGGGTAAGGTAGGGAATATTCTCATGGACTGGTACATGGGGGTAAAACAAGCACAGATTACATGACATGCTGAATGTTATGCAAGAAATGGGAGTGGATCCAGCACTCGTGGTTCTCCCAGGACTGCAGACCCAGACTAACCCAGGAAGCTCAGATTCGGATCCTGACATGCCAGGACCCTAAGCAAAGGGCCCCTGAATAGCAAAGGATCATGCTCCAAGGGGAAAACTGACATAACCTTGTCATGCCTGTTCACAGACTCCTTCCTTCCTGTATTAGCTCCTCCTACTCTGCAGACCGAGCAGAAACCCCTTTTCTCTGGAAATGAGAGTTACGAGCAGCTCAGCACTCAAACAACACTCCAGAAAAGCAACATACAGTAAACAGAAAAACCAAGCACAGGTTCTGACTAAGAGACAGGATTTCCACTGTTACTCTCTTCCCGCTGTCCACAGTTTAACTGGATCCCCCACCTACCTTGTCACACCTCCTGGAGGTCCTGCCCATGCCTGGAGCTCAGCTCCTGCCCAGGAGCTGCTCCAGACCCCTGTTCCAGCAGCACCAGCAATGAAAGGGAGCAAAACCCTGGGTGGCTTTGAGCAGGAGTGAAATTAGCTTCTGAAGCAAGGAGTTAATTTAGAAGCATTTAGTTCCAATATGCATCAATAGCCAAATTACAAATGATCCAATCCACAGCTTCTTTCTTCCCTATTGACCACAACAGTTGATTAACAAATCCTTTCAGCTGCAGACAATATAAAAGCCTGTACATCAGGGGGATTGATCAGCTCAAAACCACTTTGGATGGCTCCAGAATGCATCTGTATCATCACAGGCAGAGACTGCCCACAGGGGGTGGGGAGGGGGGGTAAACATCACCCAAATAAAAGCCAGAAGCAAAAAAGAACCGCACTTCACACACACACCCCCCCCCCACAAAACAAGCAGCCTTGGTGGAGCCTGGAGCCAAGTGTGAGCCACACAACAGCCAGAACCAAGGATTCCTGGTCAAAAGGGACCTTTGCAACCCTGAGGTCACAGAAAACAACCCTCCTCCCTCCTCCCCTTTTCCCCTCCCCTCCAGGAAACACAACGTAACTGAATGCTTTTTATTACATCTAAAGATTTCTACATAAACAGGTAACATTCAATAGGTAAACCATTTCTTTTTGTTTGTTTTTTTTCCAATGCATATAATAAATATTTTCACTTGGTACTTTTATACAAACTGACATTGGTCTACTATACATTTTTAAAAGCCATTGACTGGTTTGGCATGCCGTGTGGAAACCAAGAGGAAGTCTTAAGGCAATGAATGACAGATTTAAATTCATGGAATTAATGGTAATTTTAATATTCTGCGTATATACATTTTCTTTTTTTTTTCCCTTTGTTAATTAAAACAATTAACAGCAGCACTTTCGGGGACCACCAGCAATTTTCCCTTGTTAGAAATCTAAGCTCTGTTAAAAAAAAATAATAATAAAGGAAAAGAACCCAGTTACACTGACAAAACACAATTCTTTCTATTTAAAATGTGCTTAAAACCCTGAAATGTTAAAACTGCAACAAAGAATTCATTTTCAAAACGTTCTCCTCACAGTCCATAGCTCTGTGTTGGGAGGCAGGTCCAAGAGAGTCCAATGAAAATCTATCAGTCATCCCATCCTTGAAAGGCTTTATGGAATCCTTGCCATGGAGAGGAAGGGGCAGGCCTGGAACTGCTGGCACATCTATCCTCATGGAAGTGCTACCAAGTTTTTAATGCATGGCACAGGTGACAGTTTTCATCTTCCAAAGGCTGCATCAGTGATGCCCTCGGGAGCAACTCAAAGCCACGTGCACCTGGTGGCAACCAGCCCCGAGCTCCTGTCCCTGCAGGATGTTTGTCACACGTGTGCACGCCCCAGTCCTCTGCTGGAGCAATTTCAGGGCAAGAAACCAGTAGTTTAAGGATGAGAGGAACTGCAATCAATCCACGGGGCAGGGAGCAGGACCAGCCAGGCCACCCTGGGTCGCTCCACTGCTTCCTGGGTAACACGTGAACTAACAGAGGTTGGAGTCTGGGAGTGACATTTGCAGGGAACTCGTGGAGAACTCAAACTGAGACTTCTACCAAGCAACGTTAACTGTGGTCAGAGGCACAGAGAATCATCAGCTAGAAGAACACCCGAGCATTAAACAGGAACATTCACAAAGCATATTGGGGTTACACCACAAAGGAGGACTTCAGAACATTTCTGTCCCTTCTTTGTAGAGCAATGAGGTTACAAAACGAGGAGGGGAACTCAACAGCCTTCCTTCCCTTCAGGGGAGGAAATGGAAGACATCATCAGCTGGCCTCACTTTCCAAAAGCTAAGACAGGCCTAACGATGCCAGACCCTGTGGTACCACACACTCACCACCTGGAATTTGATACGTGAATTCACAAGATTTTAATTCCATTGTCACAAGGGACAGAAGCTGCTCTTCAGCTCATCTTAACAACAGAGCCAATGGAAACGTTGCCACAACCCTGGGGAAAAACAGGCCCCAAGCTCTCCCCAGTTCCTCTCAGGTGCTCCAGAAGCTGGGGACACCACCAGCAGTCGTACCCCAGGTTTACAAATGGTATCACAGCAAAGCATATGCTCTGAAGTTACCAGGTTAGTATTCATGACTAAAATGTATGAGATATATTCCTAATGTAGGTTTAATCACTTCAAAATCAGACTGAGCTTAAAAAATAAGTATTTCCCATTTTCTATTCTTTTATTATTTTTTTTTTAACTGACATTTAATAAATTATAAAATTGGTGTATGGTGAAATATATATATCAGCCAGATATGTATGAAATACACATGCATGGGAAAAACTATTTAACTCACTTTTAACTCACACACACAGATCTATAAATACATATATACACACACATATACATATAAACACAAACATTTGTTTTCAAAATTCAAGTCAACTATTTAGTGGCAGAGGGATGCTGTAAAAACACTAAAAACAATTTTGATGCCACATAATGTGAACCTTTCAAATAACCATACAACTGATGATACAGCAATACCTAATGCTACTTGGATTAAAGATTTTTTTTTCCTTTTTTTTCTTTTTTTTTTTTCCTTTTTTTTTTCTTTTTTAATCAATGCAAGATTTTGAGACAACTTCATAGGCAAAACGTGGCCCTTGTCAATGCTCAAAGCAACTAGCTGCAATCAACAGTTTTGGACTTGAAAAACTCAAGACAAGAATCTGCTAATTTTTAGTATTCCTTAACTCTCTTTCCTGATAAATTTGTTACCTGCACTTTCAACCAGTTATAAAAATATTTTTCACACCAGAGTGAATATTTACTCTCTCTGATGTGGACTTTGGGACACAAGAGAATTGCTTCCTTCCCTCCCCCTTCTCTTACTTTAAAGAATCTCCTGAAAAACTGCATTCCAGCTATTTACACATTTCACCCTTGAATAAGAACAGATCAGCCCAAACGACCTACCAGTTCTAAAAAAAAATAGTATCTTTTTCTATGTCATGCATGACATCCATTTAAAAAAAAAA